CTGTCAGGTAATCTTTTCTATCTTTGAGGAAATTTCGCCTTCTGTTCTGGAGACACAACTGGAAGCGAGTAGAAATCTCTCCCAAGTTACCAATGCATATACATCAAGTTCAACCAACAGAAAGTGAGGGATATTCCCTTTTAAGAATGGGTTACCGTAGAAAATGTACACGGACCGATGTGGGACATTCCCAGTCCTTTTTCTGCTGTATGCAAATCATTAAGGGCTGGTTCACCCAAAGAAGCGCAGTCCAGGTGCGTTCTGGACATGCTTCTGTATGTGCGTATTTGATGCGTTCCAGTGTGTTTTTGACACATTTTCTTATGCGTTCTGGTAAAAAAAAATTTCTCCTCTTTTGCTTCTTGAAATTGAACATGTGCGTTTTTGGTGTGTTACGGTGTGTTTTTGATGCGTTTACTGTAGGGATGCACTAACGTTTCAGTCGAAAACACCCCTTTCGGCTGTTGGGAAAAATGAAAAAGGCACCGATATATAGGTGCTAAAAAAAAAAAAATCTCGCCATCGCCCTCCCTGCCGCTGCTCCGTGGTTCAGTCTTACCTGAGAAACCATCGATCCTGGTGTTGGGCATAGAGATGAGTTAAGGAAAGATGGCCGCCACACATCGCTATGCCCTTGGAGGACTGGAGTGATGTCACTTCTGGTTCTGGCCATTTTTTTTAAAGCACTAGATCAATGCTTTTTTTTTTTTTTTTTTTTTTTTTTCTTTTTTTTTTTTTTTCAATCCAATACTTTACATTGCACCGGAGAGATGTGGGCTCTTATTGACCCCATATCTCTCCATAAAGAGGACCTGTCACTAATTATTTCTGTCACAAGGGATGCATGCATTTCTTGTGATGAGAATAAAAGTGATTACAATTATTTTAAAAGGAACAGTGCAAAAAAAAAAAAAACCCATTACATACATTTTTTTTAAAAAGTTTTAAAGTGTCCCCGTCCCCCCCAGGCTAGCACATAGTGGTGAACGCATACATAGGCCATGCCCACATATGTAAATGGTGTTCAAACCACACATGAAGTATTGCCACGATCGTTATAGCAAGAGCACTAGATCTCCTCTGTAACTTTACACTACTAACCTGTAGACATTTTTAAAGCATCACCCATGGAGATTTCTAAGTACCGTAGTTTCACGCCATTCCACGAGCGTGCGCTATTTTAAAGCGTGACATGTTGGGTATCTGTTTATTCGCTGTAACATCCTCTTACCTATTTTATAAAACAATTGGGGTATATATTTTTTTTAATCAAAGTGTATTTTTTTTTCCATTTTTAAAAACTGCGCATTTCGGTTTTGGTTTTCGGCCAAGTGCATTTTGAAGTTTCGGCACCCGAATTTTTATTTCTGTGCACCACTAGTTTACTGCGTTTCAGTGCAGAAAAAATCCAGCATGTTCTACTTTTTTTTTTTTTTCTCTCTTTCTGGAACACACTGGAACTGACAGCACTGGTGTGAACTATGTCATTGGAAGCCATGTAACCTACTATCAATGCGTTTTTGATGTACAGTTGTGTTCAAAATAATAGCAGTCAGACATCACTAACCGGATCAATCACTGTTTTTGGTAGAAATGATATTTCTACATGGCAAATAATTTACTAGCAGGTGTAGTAGAGTAATAGAAATCCAACAGACCCAACAGTCATGACATGCATGCTGCTGATTCTGTGTAATTGAATCACTAATTGAAAGGGGCATGTTCAAAATAATAGCAGTGTGGAGTTCTATTAGTGAGGTCATTCATTCTTTGAAAAACAGGTGGCAATTATTGCCCTTATTTAAGGAAGGAAGGCAGCAAATGTTGTACATGCTGGTTACAGTTCATTTCTCTCTGAAATTCTGAGGAAAATGGGTCGTTCCAGACATTGTTCAGAAGAACAGCGTACCTTGATTAAAAAGTTGATTGGAGAGGGGAAAACATATAAAGAAGTGCAGAAAATGATCGGCTGCTCAGCTAAAATGATGACAAATGCTTTAAAATGGCAACCAAACCCTGAAAGACGTGGAAGAAAACGAAAAACTACCATTGGAATGGATAGAAGAATAGCCAAAATGGGGCGGACTCAGCCAACAATCAGCTCCAGGAAGATGAAAGAAGGTGTGACGTTCCCTGTGAGGACTGTTACAATTAGAAGACGCCTATGTGAAGCCAAGCTATCTGCAAGAAGCCCCGCAAAGTCCCACTGTTGGGAAAAAGACGTGCTGAAGAGGTTACAATTTGCCAAAGAGCACATTGACTGGCCTAAAGAGAAATGGCGCAACATTTTGTGGACTGATGAAAGTGAGATTGTTCTTTTTGGGTCTAGTGGGTGGAGACAGTTTGTCAGACGACCCCCAAACACTGAATTCAAGCCACAGTACACTGTGAAGACAGTGAAGCATGGTGGTGCAAGCATCATGATATGGGGATGTTTCTCATACTACGGTGTTGGGCCTATTTATCGCATACCAGGGATCATGGATCAGTTTGAATACATCAGAATACTTGAAGAGGTCATGCTGCCTTATGCTGAAGAGGAAATGCCCTTGAAATGGGTGTTCCAACAAGACAACGACCCCAAACACACCACCAGTAAACGTGCAACATCTTGGTTCCAGACCAACAAGATTGACGTTATGGAGTGGCCAGCCCAATCCCCGGATCTTAATCCAATAGAAAACTTGTGGGGTGACATCAAAAAATGCAGTTTCTGAGGCAAAACCAAGAAATAGAATAGAACTGTGGAATGTCGTCCAATCATCCTGGGCTGGAATACCTGATCACAGGGGCCAGAAGTTGGGTGACTCCATGCAACACAGATGTACAGCAGTTCTCAGAAACAGTGCGACTACAACCAAATATTCATGAAGTCATTCAAAGGAAAGCAAAATCTTCAAACATTTTTCAGTTTATATAGTGAATGTTTGAGTTTGTAAAGAAGAATACAAACACTGCGATTTTTTTTTTTTTTTTTTTTTTTTTTTTTTTTTTTTTTTTTTTTTTTTGAACCGTCTAATATTCACTTTTCTTCAAATTTTTTTAGAGGAACAACACAAATTTGATGTATTTTTCTTCATGTTTTGATTTGGAATAGAATGTGTCGTGTTCCCAATGCATTTGTGTGGATGGAAATAAAAGCTATTAGAAGGATTTTGAGCTTTATTCACTTTTTTCAACACACTGCTATTATTTTGAACACAACTGTATGTGGTGTGAACTGGACCTAAAGCTATTTTTAATTCACATGCTTCAGCAATAATTTGGGTAGCTATGAATGTTGTAGTGTTATTTTTCTTTTATTGTTGGCACCCTTTGCCTATGTGATAGAACACCGCTTGTCCAGTAGGGGGAGGAGTTGCTGTAAAACTCTCCATAGTTGAATGAAGTCCTGTCTCTTTATGTAAAAGTCCTAATTTTAAAATGGGACATGATGTTCTTAGTTATGGCTGCCTGTAAAAATGTGACACCTCCAGCCTGTCCCCTCAGCCGACTAGGTTATAGTAGCGTACATTGTGTTCTCTGTGACTGTAACGCAAGGCGGGCATTGACCAACTCTGCTATGCTAATCTCCTGAGGCAGGCCGACTTCTCACTTTACTGTTACTGTAAACAGAACTGTAAATCAAAGGTAATAAAGCTTATGTGGCCTCAGAATGTAATATATTGCAGGTTACCAGTGCTTTAGATGTGGTGGCTGCATTTTGTTTACTTTAAACCTTTTAAAAGTAACCGTCCTGCCTAATTACAGATACCAAAAGAGGGGTTACAGTGTTGGCCAAAATGACCCTTTTTGTGAGCCCTGACTTTTTATTTTTTTAAGTCATAAATCATGTATAGGCTTACTTCATTCATGACTGACCATACCAATAAAAGGCAGGATTCCCCACCCATTTGAATGGGCTGCTAAGCTGCGTTTTCCACATGAAAAAAGTGCATTCACCTTTTTGAAAGTTCAGCCACAGGGAAACTGCCTGGTCTTTTTGACCATGCCGTTTACCTGTGGTTCCAGCACCCCCAATCGCACTGTGGGCTGAGATACATGGGGTGCCATTCTGAATGAATGACAGTCCTGCGTATCTCGCAAGAGCAGCACAATTCAGCTGCAGATGGGTGCGGGAACAGGTGAGATTCCCACAGCCTGCGGGTATAGTGTGTTCCTAGGCGTAATAGTGGACATTAGACCTCTTCATGGGCCTATTCTGCTCACCCCTGCAGTGCAAGGAAAAGGGCTCAATCTAGATTTGTCATCTACAGCCCTGAGGCCAAGAAGGATCATACCTGGACCCCTGCATACAAGAGTGGGGATTGCCTGTATTATTGCCCTTTGCTGCCCACAAGGTCCAGCGCCAACCTCCAGGGTACTCTGTATTCAGTGACCTCACTGGCAGGGTATTGTACCAGTGGTTGTGACCCCTTTAGGTGGAGTCGAGTCCCTGAAGGCCATGCAGCATGCTTCTACCACAAGCGGTTTGGGCTCTTTGGCCATACTGCAAGGAATGATGAGTTCCCCTGTATGTGGCCTGTGTGTCAATCTCCTAGTGTCCCCTGGTGCTTGGGCTGTGCAGGCTGGCAACAATGCAGGACTGAAGCAACACACCAAATTGCTTTCTCTCCTTTTGCCCATTCGCAGAACCATTCTCCGAAAAATACAACCATCTGTAAATGGACACGGGGAATGGGAGGCAGATAAAAGACAGTATTATTTCCAGGTATGTTGGCCCTGAAGCTGTGGGTAAACTTTATTAGAGCCTGTATTGAAGCCTGCAGAGTGTTGTACCCACAACGCACTGATCACGGGTACAATGTTCTGTGGGCTTCAATACAAAAAAATAATAAATGCACAGTGATCATGATATCAGTATAGCTGCTTTTACTGCTCCTTTTTTTGAATTTTTTTTTTTTTTTGTGCAAAAGGTACAGGTGGCTGTTTTTAATGGGCTGACTCGCTTATTGCACGATTTTAAGTAATAGGTTTCCTTTTTCTCTCTTGATCCTCAGGTGAAAAGAAGTATTTTTTGCCTCTCCGGAGAGCGTCACCGGCAAGGTGGGAGTCGGCACCTGTGGCATCGCGGACAAACCAATGACACAGTATCAAGACACTTCCAAATACAACGTCAGGCACCTGATGCCCCAGTAACACTCACATGTACCACATTCACCTTTTTTATCCCTCTATTTTTCTAAAACTAAGTTATTTGTCGTCAAATGAAGATTAGCATGGCTCCCTGATGATTCGGTTAGAAAGCGCAAGAATACAGGCAACTAACAGGCAGATGTTTGTGTTAACATACATTGGGCATTTGAGCAGGGAGCATATTTGGCAGCAGTAAGGGCTTTGGACCCTTCTGGGGCAAGCTGCAGCCACAAAAGAATGGCAGTTAACCTGGCAGGGGAGCCTTTTGGCATTTCAGTCCCTGTACAGGTGCTGGTTACTCACAGCTGGTTTACTGGAGGCTGCCTCTGTGCCATTTTGATATTTATCAGATATTGCTGTTTTCCATCTGACTAATATCTGCACCTTCTAATTGGAATTTGAAGCCTGAAAATGATGTATCAGTTTTTCTGTGGTTGCTGGCAAGTCAAATCACAATTTTAGGAGGCGGAGTGGGGGCTCAATCTGTCATACAGCATTGGGTAAATAGATCACACAATAAGAACACGTGTCCTGATTTTTTGATGAATACCTATGATACAGAATAACTGCAGAGTATAGACTGCAAGAAACTGACACCTAACTTAACTCTGTATGTAAGAGACAAACTTCTGCCAGGAAACATTGCTGATGGAGAGTGGTTTAATCCACCAATGGGGCAGATGAGAGGCGTCACAAGGAGCCTTACCTTAATGTAGATATATGGGCAACACCTAAGCACTCCTAAACCTAAAAATGCTCCTTTACCATCCCAACACCTATTCTGGCTAACCTGTGTAAGAAAGATCTGTATACTTCCCTATTTTCAGGCCGCTCTGGTCCGGTCACATGATCCATCTCCCCTCTCTCAGCCAGCGACAACTGCAGGGGAGAATAGGGAGCACCGACAATAGATGGACCATAGGAGGCTATGAGTGATGTCACCGCTCCTAGAGATGACCAGTCATTATCAAACGCTTTCTCCTCTCCCCTGCAGCGGGCACTTGCTGCCACAGGGGAGATCACGTGAAAACTAGGCAAGTATACAGATCTTCCTTATGTAGGTTAGTCAGAATAGGTGATGAGAGGTAAAAGGGAGCATTTTAAGAGTAAGTTAGGTTGTTCCTGGAATTCTTCTTTAACTTCAGTGTTAAAATCCTTCTGATAGTGACGCAAGAGCCGCCCTAAACTTACCGTGACTTTTTATGATGTAGGAACAGAAGTGTGACCCCTCTTCTGAGCTCCCCCACATGAGTGCCTGAGTGAATGGTCACCAGACCACAAGTGTTAGGTTTAGACGTGCTACTCAAACCGCACCAAATGAAATATGGGCTTTCAGGAATACTGCATAGGAATTTTAGAAGGTTCTGTCTACAGGATTTGTTCTCTTTTGCAGATGATTCTTCAGTAATGGTACACTTTTTAAGATCGGGATTAAACAGGTATTTAGAGTAAAGTGAGAGGTTCTATTGTAAGATCTTCCCACTGATAACTCTCCCTTTGTTGCTTAGGTTGAGTCCTTGGTAAATGGTCCTTCTGGGTGCAGGTGAGCACGTGACCACCTGCAGTGCAGGGTGCTGTGCTGTCAATTGACCACTGTCACGGAGGGAGGAATTAACCTGTGTAAGATCTGACACTGATAACTCTCCCTTTGTTGCTTAGGTTGAGTCCTTGGTAAATGGTCCTTCTGGGTGCAGGTGAGCACACGTGACCACCTGCAGTGCAGGGTGCTGTCAATTGACCACTGTCATGGAGGGAGGAATTAACCTGTGTAAGATCTGACACTGATAACTCTCCCTTTGTTGCTTAGGTTGAGTCCTTGGTAAATGGTCCTTCTGGGTGTAGGTGAGCACGTGACCACCTGCAGTGCAGGGTGCTGTCAATTGACCACTGTCACGGCGGGAGGAATTAACCTGTGTAAGATCTGACACTGAGATTACATAATGCTTAGACATCTAGCTCTGATGAAGGAATGGAACAGTGAGGAGCGCAATGTAAGTGAGTTTCACTGGATGGTGGGGGGGGGGAGTTCCCCTTACAAGAGAACCTGTCACTTTGCTTTCAGTGGCCTAGTTAAACCTGATGATGAAGGGTGGAATGTAAGAATTGATTTATGTAATTTTCTCGGCTTGCAGGCCCCCCTTTCACTACAGAACCAATCAGTACCTCCCACTAGGCAGCTGGGTTATATGAGGCTTCCAGATATAAATGAAGCCATTTCCAGAGCACCTTCGTCTTTTGTCTTGCATTTGTCTTCCTGCAAATGTTACTAAATACATTGCATTTCTTTTCATAGTTTCCTTCCATTCTTTTCTCCTGGCAAATTTTTTGTGGCCATGGGATAAGACTTGCTTGTGCTTTGCTCTCTGCAGATTATCCTATATCAGGGGTAGGCAACCCCAGAGAGGTGGAGATATACTCCTTCCATTGGTGGTCACTGCGGAGCTGCAGTAACATCTCTTATAATGTTGGTCAGTGAGCCCCCCCCATTATACTGAGCATCAATATAGAGCTACTCATCATTCTAGTCTTCGTACCCCCAGTGCTAACATCATGTCCCTTGTCAGACCAGCTTACCTTCTTCCACCCATCTGTCCCTAATATACAGAGCTGCGGCAAGACATAGCTACCCACCCATTGATAGAGACGTGATCCCTGATGTTCCACCTCTCACATCATCCAACCCAGAGCTTGTGTGATGTCGCATAGAAGCACCTGAGATGGATGCAAGAGTAGGCCCTCAGGGACCAGCTCTCCAACGCGGTCTTAAAAGCAGCAAGAGTGACTCTTCTATATATCGCAGGGCAGCAGAACACCTCTGTTGAAGAAAAGAAAAACATGAAAAGTACTGGTGAAAAACTAGATGTAATGTAGACAATAGATATAGAAACTACTGGAGAGCCTTTATCAGATATGCGAGAATGTCATGTTCAGTCATTTAAAGGACCTCTGCCATTTAAAGTACTAATTTTATTGTAAACATCTAGTTTTATCCTGCAAAGGTTTAGTATTTTTGTCTATCCAGTCCTGAGATTTACATGCTTCTGCCCCACATTGCAGTCCTGTCTGGCAGGACATTAGACCTGACTGTGCACTGCAGTTAAAGTGGAACTTTACATAGAAAATGAAAACTTGTGTGCAGACAGACTGTGTATTGCAGAAGAGACCTACTATGTCACATGAATACATTCTTACCTGCCTGTTTGCAGTTTCCTTGAGAACACACTGAGCTGTGCATGCTCCTGTGTACAATCCTGGGATGAATGAGCACCTGTGGTTGGTTATCCAAGCTCAGCCGATTAGGTGGCTGAAGAACATTGGCAAACGACCAGGCGAAAAAGGCAAGTCTAGTTCTGCTTTAAGCAATGCTGACAGCTCTTGTCCCTCTGCTAGCCTGTTACTGGACAGTTAAAGTAAGGCCTGGTTCACACTGGCATTGAAAGCAGGTGTTTGAGGGGCATTTTTAAAGCTGCTCAAATGCCTATGCAAATGATACTATGGACCGCACATAGTGCTGTTCACATTATCAAAACATGAAGCATTAGCCTCCCATCTCTTCAAAATTGAGTCTCATGTTGAGTCTGGAGGAGTTTGAAGCCTTTAACACTTTTTAAAATGCTCAGAAAACCCATCAAGACTGTGCATAGGGTGTTTGGGGAGCATTTTGAACACTTGTAAAATGTCAGTCTAGCAGGGGCAGAAAATTAATTGAACACTTTTTTTTTTTAACATGATTAAAGTGTCAAAAGATAATGCCTATTGTTTTGTCATTACAACCAAATTAGGACTTTAAATGACAGATGTCCTTTAAAATCAGGAACAACCTTTTTTTTTCGTTTTAATCTGTACTGAGATTTGCCACAGATTTTTTATTTTTTTTGTTTTTTGTATGCCCGTTCCTCATAAGCTTTTACAATTTTTTTCCCACTTGTAACAGAAGAGGAATAAGCGGGTAGCTTGTTGATTTGTGTAGATAAGTCATTATATGTATATATGTGTAGTGGATTGCGTGGTGCTCGAACCCATCCGAGGTCTGGTCTATACCACGTCATGTTCTTGTGTAAATACACATTTGTACCGTGTTTCCAAACTCTTGTACAGTCTGGGTTGTCTCTGCTTCTTGGCATGTCAGTCAACAGGCACAGTAACATAAAATGTCATTTACTGGTTTGTTTTGATCCTTATAAATGCCTTTATGTTGTACATGGTCATTATGATTTAATGCCCAGTAAGTTCATTCATTGGCGACCTTGTTTATTGCCTGAAAATGTATCCTTGCATCCCCCCTTGCTATTTGTTTTTTATTTTTATTTTTTTAATTAAATCCTGGCTTGTAAATACCAATGTGAACATCCCCCAAGTTCAGCAGGCATTTAAAAAGCATCAGGTAGCTCTCTTGAAACCTGAAGTTTTAGCCTGGGCAGAAGAGACCAATACTTCACGGAAGTGCGGATTGTAGCATTCAACTAGATCACACAAATGTCAGTCTTTCATACGCGAATGTCATTTCAGTTGTAAGAGGCATTGCATGTCTCCTGCAGTAGAAGCCCACCTGCCCACTGTTTGTTACAGCGGAACACTTTAAAGGATAATTCCACTTTCTCCACAAATCTAACATTGTAAGGCAGGGCAGACACTTGGATGCATTTATTTAGATGATGCACTTTCCAATTGTGAGCTGCTAGCTGGTTCTTTATATGCTACCATCGCCTTTTATTTAAGTTGATGGGAGCTCTTTTTAAGGATTTATAAACATTTAAGGCTGGATTCACATATTTACGATGCATTAACGTGCAAACCACTGTACCATGTATTGTGAATAGCACCTCAACGGAGCTGCGTTTTAGCAGGAGCCGTCCGCCATCTGTGCTTTGCAGTGTGCTGGGAACAAAAAAGTGGTTGTTTTGGTGTGTTGGCAACCCATTCCAAATGAATCGACTGCCTTACTGCAACATATGTTAAAGTTGAACGCTGGGCAGAAATGTTTTAACCAGACGTAGAAGTCAATTCCTGCCATTAACAGGTGCAGTCTTTTTTTGCGTTCAAAGCAGCA